GCTTGATCCGGAGCAACGATACCTGAGCGTTGTCTGGAAGCTCGGCGAGGAAGAGCTTTCCATGAGAAGCCTCGCAAAACAGGGAGTGGCTGACGGAAATAAGTTAGCCATTATGCTCCTCTGAGTTACACATTTTGATTGTTCTGACCAAAGACCCATCGCCTCACTCTGCAATTCGTCATTTGGGGCCCTGCGCAAAGTCGTTAGTTTTCAGTCACTTGTGTTTTCCGGCTGCGTGTACCAGTAAGTAGAACTAAAGATATCACTGTGATAACTTCTGCCACGTAGATGTTCGTAGTCCAAAACGTCGGCAGTCATCGACTTAGTCGAGCACTGGTCGTCATCAAGGCCTGGATCGGATTCGTCGTCTTGCCATTCTGTCTGATGGGCCTGCCGTTAGTATTGTCATTGGAGTAGCTGGAAAGAGAGATCTCACCTCGGTTGGAGTTACAAATTCCATTCCTTGTGTAAAAGAGGTCGAAGATAAGAGACCTGGTTGCCAACCACCTGGCCCATCCACAACCAACGGGGATGAGGACCTCGACCCCGAGGATACCTCTGTCATCTTCGAAGAACTCAAGATGTGGAAGAGATCCTGAGAGGCAGCACCGAATCGTGTCTGTTCGAGGATGCACTCTACTTATATGCTCAGGATCTGGTGGGGCTGGCGCTGCTTGGATGACTGGTCTGGCTAGGCCAGGGAGGGTCGAGTCTTAGGATCACCAAGATGCCGGCAACTGCGGGTACGCATGAAGCTCACTAAAGGAGAAAATTAAAGGGGATTAGCGCCGTCAGATCAGGAGACGCGTCGGAAATTGGAAAACCTACATAGATGCCACATGGACTCGGAACCAACCTAGGCTGCCGCTTGTTAGATGCTGATTAAAAAACGGTACCTGTAATGGGAAGGAAATCATGATGAGCGAACGGAAGCGAAGTGAGCCCAGCTTGATCTATTGAATGCCTGGATCGACCGAGTAAACGACCGCAGTAGCTTTGGTGTGCGACCAAAAAGTCCGTGACATATCAAGGATCTGGAGGAGAAAGTTGCAACGGGAATAAGCGTGACAGCATAACCGTATCTTCCTCGCCTTCCTCGCCTTCCTCGCCGTCCTCGCCGTATGGAGGCAGGCGAAGGAAACCAGGTGCCTTCCAAGAGTGTGCCAGCTACGGCAGATTCATCAAAGAGTCCCGTATGAGTAGAAGGGCCGCGTCTTCCACGTCGGGTGTCTATTAAGCCTTTCCCGCAAGTCGGAAAACCGATCGCAGATTGTTCAGAGCGTGGCTTTCATTGGGTTCCCTCACTCATCCAACTACTCAAAGACGACGCTACGTTGCGCTACGACGCAGACTGGTAGGAATATTCGCCGTCTACATCGTCGAACCCACAATCGATTTCATGATGGTTGCTTCGCTAGCGGTCTCGTCCTCGCATCCAACAACGCGGCGTGCACTGTGCACATCATCGCGAACTGTAGCGTGGTAGACATTATGCTTCGCAGTGACCATAATCTCATTGAAACCCACATTCCATGCATCATGTGCTAATAGTTTGCGAGGAGGCCAAAGGTAATCATTGCAACGTACGCGGCGTGAAAGTGAATGAAGTTTTGCTTGTTGCGCTGTCGAAGTTCTTTGAGACTGGTAGGAAGGTTCAGACAGGCCGGGTCAATCAAATCAAACAGAGGACTACTTGCTGAATTCCCAAGTGTGCGATCGATGTAAGGCCAATAGGTGTTTTTCAACGTAGAGAGGGCGACCTAAAGGGCTTCAACAGACATGATTTCAGACTGGCAGACTTGGAGCAAAAGACAAGAGTTGAAGAACCCGACTTTCCGATTCTATGAGGAGATCCTACAATCTTAACTGTTGTCCAGCTGCGGCCTGAAGCGTCTCGATCCCTTTCAGCCCTACAGCAACTATTGTCTCTGTCGCTTGAGCTTGCATTGGATAGCTGTGGGAAGCTGCAATGGTCAATACCGTAGAAGTCGAATTTGCTTTCCGTCTTTGCGGATAGGAATTATTCTGCGCACAAGCATATGTGGATCCCTTTGCTGACGGGATATATACTGAGACCCAACAAGTACCTTCACCCATGACCTCCACAGTAAAGTCAGAATCCCTTCTTTACTGTGTTCTTAGTTCAGACCCATGTTGCGTACTGTAGAAACGGCATTTGCCATCGCCGTTTGTGGACGTCAACTAATGCAGTATGGGTCTAATAAACGAACACAGTGTAAAAGCAAGTCCCGCCCCCGGCTATGGAGGTAATCAAGAAGGTATTGCCAGGACCTTGTCATGTGCCCTGTCAGCAATCGGATCTACAAACATCTTTGCACAGAAGAGTTCCTATTTACGGACAAGGAAACCGATTTCGATTCCTACTGTAGTGTGTGTTCGTGCAAGTGGTCTCACAAACTCGCCTAGCTCGACAACACGGATGGCGAGTGTGATGGTCCGAAGAGCCTGCAAAGACTGCCCGTTTCATGACGCAGAAAAGAAGCGAAGTCGAACCCAGTCTCGACGTACGCGGTAGTAACTGGCCATGGATGCACTGCGTGAGTGTTCAATTCATATGGGCTTAGGAAGCGGAGCTACAAATGAATCTCACAAGCTTTTGGCGATGCGGCCAAGTCTGCTTCTCGCAACCAGACCAGAGGAAACACGGAGACAAAAGCAAAGCCAGAGAAGCTATGAAAGAAATTGGCTTACTTGTGAAGCGACTCTGGCGGCGTCTAGCACTACATCAGATATCCCGGAGCCCGGGTTGACTCGGACACGCCGTCATACCAGTTCAGCTTACAGTACATACTGTACCAAAGGTTTGGGAAAACTCTAATCTCAAAGAGAGATCTTCCGGGCACGAGGAGGTCTGATAATACTTCTCTCACCTTCACGCCACCCTCGGGCTGCGGGTAACGCCAGCTTCACGCCTGAGTGGACGACGTAAAAGTATGACGCGAGCAGTGCGATGGATCTTCCATACGGAAAGAGGTCTTCGCATCTCGTCAATATTCGCCAAAGCACTGCGTGGTGCACTAATGCAAACATTTCGGGAAGAGAGTCGAGCCTCTTGTTTTTTCCGTGGGGTTTAGGTATGGTGACAGGAGTGTGAACGCGCGTTGGACGACTGGTCCAGCTTGCGTGACTCTAGAGCGTAGTACGCATCAATCCCATGGTGTTGTGGTCCGTCTTCTCGGGTTCATGAACCAGTGACTAGGTAGCCTTAAATATTCCTATGGATGGCTTTGAGTGCGTTTCCCTGTTTCAATTAGGTTAAACCGCAGATTCCACACCTGTGGTGCCTTCTCCTCAATTTCTTTCTGTATTGACCGCATGCCATCCTCGATATTGCAGCCTACATGGCGCGAACGGCGTCCCTATCGCACTGCAGCGTGACAAACTGCTTCAGGCAGCCAGCTTGGACATCCACCTGACTCCACGTAACTCGCTCAAGCATCAGGTTTGGGCCATTGAATGCGCTTTCCGTTGCATTGCATCAGCCATTTGTGGGTGTAGCATGACTGTTCTTGAGATACAGGGGTCAGCGAAAAGGGATTCATCTCATATTCAACACACTTCTCTCTTTCCGCACGGACGTTTGATATCTAAGCACCAACACAGTCTGGCTTAGTACGGGAGTACTTAGCCCAGAAAAACCTTAAGTTGACAGAGTTGCTCCATCCATGGTTTGGAGCAAACATTGGCTTCAGTGTCATCACCAACAGGGGTTCTAAGTGGGTTGGAAAGCCGGCTCTGGATTACCTAACCTCTGTTATTGGAGATGGAGAGCGTGCCCAAGTGTGTGGGTCGGTCGTCGAATGACGGATATTGTGTTTGGCATGTACATCTGTAGGCCAGGGTTTGATATACACTGTGTAAGCATCAAAAACGGCTTATGTGTCTGTGCGGAAAGAGATCAGAGAGTTGAAGAAGGTGAAGGCCTTTTCGCGAACTCCTGTACACGACAATCAGTACGCCTTGTCGTCCTGCGGCGTCTCTGCGTAGCACTCTGCGTAGCAGTATAGTACAGTAGCACAAATCCGGCAGTCAGTCCCTCACGAAACACGTACCCGATTGTCTTTCCGAGCCTTATAGCATCCCGTTTGAGCCAGCGCCTCGCCCCGTGCTGCCGTGCATTATTAGGGTCTGTTGTGATCTTTGTGCGCAGCCATTCCTGATCTGCCCGGACGCAACGTCAAGATC